CAGCGACAACTGTTAGAGGTAGAAAATAGTTTAGCTGACGTGTGGTTCATCGACTCAGGAGCCACTTATCACATAACCTCTCGACGAGAATTGTTCCATCATTATGAACCCGTCTCTTGAGGATCTGTGTTCAGCTGTGAAGATTGTCGGTATTGGAACTATCAAGTTGAAGTTCCATGACAATACAGTTCGCACAATTCAACAAGTGCAACATGTAGAAGGCCTGACAAAGAACTTGTTCTCGGTAGGTCAACTAGATGACCTTGATTGCAAGGTGATCATGGAGAAAGGTATCATGAAGGTGATTCAAGGTGCGCTTACACTTATAAAGGGAAAAAAGGTGGCTACAAACTTGTACATGTTGGAGGGAGAGACTTTGCAAGAAGGAGAAGCATCAGTTGCCTCAAAAAGTCCAAGTGAAAAGTTATCGATGATCTGGCACCAGAAACTTGGACACATGTCCGAACAAGGAATGAAGGTTCTTGCGGAGCAGAATCTACTCCCAAGGCTCACTAAGGTATCTTTACCCTTTTGTGAGCATTGTGTTACAAGTAAACAGCACAGGTTAAAGTTCAACACATCAAATTCTAGAAGTAAAGAGATTCTAGACTTGGTTCACTCTAATGTATGGCAAGCACCGGTTACATCTCTAGGAGGAGCAGGGTACTTCGTGTTCTTTATAGATGACTACTCCAGAAGATGTTGGGTGTATCCTATCAAGAGAAAGGCAGATGTGTGTTCGGTCTTCAAAGTGTTCAAAGCGCAGGTAGAACTTCAATCTGGCAAGAAGTTGAAGTATTTACGGATAGATAGTGGAGGGGAATATACGAGCAATGAGTTTGCGGATTTCTGCAATCAGGAAGGCATCAAGAGGCAGTTCACTACGGCTTACACTCCTCAGCAAAATGGAGTAGCAGAGCGGATGAACAAAACATTGTTGGAGAGGACAAAAGCAATGTTAGCAGCTGTAGGCTTAGACAAAGCTTTTTGGACAAAAGCAATTAATACCGCCTGTTATGTAGTGAATCGTGTTCCATCAACCGCAATTGACTTGAAAACACCGATGTAGATGTGGATGGGCAAGCCAGGTGATTATTCAAACCTCTATACATTCGGAAGTCTGGTGTACGTGATATACAATGCCCAAGAATCTACAAAGCTGGATCCAAAATCCAGGAAATGTTTATACTTGGGGTATGCTAATGGTGTGAAGGGATATAGCTTGTGGGATCCCACTGCCCACAAGGTTATCATCAGCAGGGATGTGATCTTTATGGAGGACAAGAAACAAGCTGTAGAAGATGATAACACTGTAAATAAAAGTTCAGAGACTACAACAGTATACGTGGAGAAAGAATCTGAAAAGGACTCTTCTAAAGCTAAATCAGCGCACGAGATCCAAGAACCAGAAGAATCATAAGTACCAGAGACTCGTCGATCAGGTAGGCTGACAAAACCACCCAGTTGGCAATCTGATTACATTATCGAGAGTAATGTTGCATATTGTCTTCTAACTGAGGATGGAGAGCCATTAAATCTCCAAGAGGCAATGATTAGTTCAGATGCTGCCCAATGGATGACAGCAATGCAGGAAAAAATAGAAGCTCTCCATAAGAACAAGACCTGGAAACTTGTAACGCTACCACGTGGGAGAAAGCCCATTGGCAACAAGTGGGTGTATAAGATCAAGCACAACAATGATGACCAAGTAGAGCGGTATCGTGCAAGATTGGTGGTGAAGGGATATGCTCAGAAAGAAGGTATTAACTTCAATGAGATATTTTCTCCAATAGTTCGACTGACTATGATTAGAATAGTCATGGCAATGTGTGCTACATTTGATCTACAGCTGGAGCAGTTAGATGTAAAAACTGTCTTTCTCCATGGAGATCTCGAAGAAGAAATTTATATGCTCCAACCAGAAGGCTTTGAAGTAAAAGGAAAAGAGAACTTGGTTTGTAGGTTGAACAAATCTTTGTACGATCTCAAACAGGTGTCGAGGTGTTGGTACAAGAGATTTAATGCCTTCATTGTGAGCCTTGGATACAACAGACTTAATGCAGACCCTTGTGCATATTTCAAGAGGTTTGGTGAAAAAGACTTTATTGTGTTGATGTTGTATGTTGACGACATGTTGGTTGGAGGCCCCAACAAAGATCGTATAGAAGAATTGAAGGCTCAGTTGGCTAGGGAGTTTGAAATGAAGGACTTGAGACCCCAAACAAGATTCTGGGGATGCAAATTCATCGAGACAGAAATAATAGGAAGATTTGGCTATCACAGAAAAATTATTTGAAGAAAGTCTTGCGATGCTTCAACATGCAAGACTGTAAGCCAATCTCTACTCCTCTTCCTATTAATTTCAAGTTATCCTCTAGTATGAGTCCTATCAGTGAAGCAGAGAGGATGGAGATGTCTCGAGTACCGTATGCATCAACAGTGGGAAGCCTAGTGTTCGCCATGATCTGTACCAGACCAGACATTGCACATGCAGTGGGAGTAGTTAGTCGGTATATGGCGAATCCAGGTCGAGAGCATTGGAATGCTGTTAAAAGGATCCTTAGATACATCAAAGGATCCACTGATGTTGCATTGTGTTGTGGAGGATCAGACTTTATTGTCAGGGGATATGTTGACTCAGATTATGCAGGTGATCGTGATAAAAACAAATCCACTATAAGAAATGTGTTCACTCTTGCTAGGGGAACTATAAGATGGGTTTCAAAACTGCAGTCAGTTGTGGCTACAAGCAGAATATGTTGCAGCTACACAAGCTAGTAAAGAGGCGATCTAGTTGAAAATACTATTGGAGGAACTCGGGCATGAACAGAAGAATATTTCTCTGTTTTGTGACAGTCAGAGTGTCTTGTATCTTGCAAGGAATCCAGCTTTCCATTCCAAGTCAAAACATATTCGAGTGCAATACCACTTCGTTCGTGAGAAAGTGGAGGAAAGAACAATGGACTTGCACAAAAATCACACAAAAGAAAACCTAGCAGACTACTTAACAAAGGCAGTCAATGCTGACAAGTTTAATTGGTGTCAATCCTCGAATGGCCTAGAAGAAACATAAGCAACATGAAGGTGGCAAGGTAGAAAGAATGGTGTGGAGATGTGATTGATTATCAATCAAATCTCCAAGTGGGAGATTGTTAAATAATATTTCCCAAGTATGCTCAAGAAGCCTCTAGAAACCACTAAATTAAGTGGTTTGCCAAATCTTGCTCAAGAAGCCTCCTTAAAGATGGAAACCTCTAGAATCCACTAGAATAAGTAAAGCTTGCTCAAGAAGCCTCATTGGAGAATTGAAGAAACTAGAAGCTACTAGAGTATAATACGTGGAAAAATTGTGGCCACTAGATCATCATCTATCCAAGGTTAGTATGTGGCATAATTGTAGCCATAGAAATTTGCTTGATGAGCAAGTATGGATGAGCTATAAATAGGTGGGCACCAAAACTTACAACCCATCCCAAAAATTCTCCAATTCCAAATGAGCTAAAGTGTGAGTTTGAGTGTGAGGCTTGGTGAGATAAAGATAGAGAGAGTTTCTTCTTATGAGAGATTTTTTTTTTCATAAGAAAGAAAGTTTGTAACTCCTACTTTATTTAGTGGAATTCTTCTTCTTTGTCCGTGGTTTTTACCCTAATTCGTTTATGGGTTTTTCACGTAAAATCACTGTGTCATTTTCTCTTCTTTCTCTCTATTTCTTCTCAATCCATTTTAGCTGCGTCTTACTCTATTCAATTCCAATCCTTTTTTACAACACAAAGCAGGAGCATGGACCTCGTGGTTGTCTGTTAGTACGTTTTTTTATATTAATTTGTTTATACTACATTATATATTGTTTTTAATTTGCACATGATTTATACTTTATATTTTGTGGCCAATGCAACCAAAGAAAAAGACATTGAAAGTAGTGAAGCATGGGCAATATGATTTGAGTCGTATTTTTAATTATTGGTGATAATTGGATAAGTTTTGTAGTTTAGAATGATTCCACAGTCTAGCTTTTAAAATATTTATTTTAGTTTTCTAAAATTTTAATTTTTTTAGTACAATAAGTGGTAGCGAAGACCAATGATTCAAATTCATGATATCTCGATCAGAAATAGGTATCAATTATCGTTGAACTAAGTTCTTAGTGATAAAATTTTCATTTTTTATTCAATAAATTTCTATCGGATTCAAAAACTTAGGTCATTAAATACTTAACCTCGCCTAAACTTAGCCCATCACACATCTTTAAACGATACAATTGACATGTTATGCACATGATGTACTAGAAGCATTTAAAGTATGGTGGTGGGAAAATTTCTAATTGGTACAAATGGAGTAGATACTCACACGGTAGAAAATTCTCCCCTTTGGTAATCTTATTTTTAGTACAATAAATGTGGGAGGAGGAATTGAACCTCCGACTTTGAGCAATATGCTTTAACCACTAGTGTCGGCTCCTAGGGCAGTGGCTTATTAAATACAATTTCAAAAGTTAAAAAGATCTATTAAATGTTTTAAAAAATATTTGAACTTATGGCTCATTTACTCCAAGGAACGAAGAATCAAGGAATAAATATGAATTTTTTTTCCTTATGTTTATTAAAATGTATGAATATAGTCAATTAGTGTGACTCACATTAATTTATTTTTATAATTTTTTTCTAGAAATATCTATCGACATAGATATTTTATGGAACTCTATCAACATTATTTTCATGAAATTGAGACATTGACATTTCCATTGACATCAACATTTAAAATCTTGATATAGTCGGGCTAAAATCATTTTTCTCCTTTTCTAAAATTACTCAGTAGCATTATCAAAACATTACTACTTTTAATATATTAGTAACTTTGACCATTGCAAAAATAATTTTGGCCACGTTAAAATCGCTCTCGAATAAAAATAATAATAATAAAACATTCTCATTTAGTTTAAATTTTGATTTTTATCATTTCGATTCCGTAAATAATGGACACATTCCATTATAAATAAACTAATATATGAGCAATCATTGAGAGGCCAAGAGGCAAGAGGAAACTCGCCGGCAACTTTCCCACAGGCTTATCTTCTTCTCCGTCGCATCCACAGCCGCCGGCGCCATGGCCGAGACCGGAGCCAGACGGCGGCATGAGCTCTCCACTCTGCTTCTTCTCTCACTTCTGCTCATCCTCCCTGTTTCCTCCGCCGGAGAAAACCTGTCGTTCAACTTCAACCACCGCAAGATCTCCACCATCGTCGGAAGTTCTTCCTCCGTTTCCAACTCCACCTACGCCGTCATCTTCGACGCCGGAAGCTCCGGCAGCCGCGTCCACGTCTTCCACTTCGACCAGAATCTCAATCTCCTCTTCATCGGTTCCGACATTGAAGTTTTCTCACAGGTAAACACCACAGCGCTCTTCGATTTCAAAATTTTGAATCTATTTCACCTAACGACCTCGATTAAGCGATTCCATTGTTCTACAGATAAAACCGGGGCTGAGTTCATACGCCGACGATCCTCAGAAAGCCGCGGATTCTCTAATCCCCTTACTGGAGAAAGCAGAGAGCGCAGTTCCTCAAAAACTGCAATCCGTAACGCCTGTTCGCCTCGGGGTTCGTAAATCCTCCATTCTTCACTTCTCCTCCACGAAATTTCTCGAAAATCTTCCATTAAACGCGCATTCCATTGGATCTCCGTCTCTGTTTTCAGGCCACGGCAGGGCTGAGGTTTCTGGAAGGCGATAGATCTGAGAAGATTTTGGAAGCGGTAATTTGCAATTGCTTGCTACTGAAATACTCTGATTCTTCGCCGGTGATTGTTTGATTTTTGTAGAGATGAATCCGTTGTTTCAGGTTAGGGTTCTTCTGAAATCAAAGAGCGGATTCAAGTACGACGCGGATTCGGTTTCGATTCTCGACGGAAATCAAGAAGGTTCATATCAATGGGTATGATTTCTTCACGATTTTGCTTTCTCGCTGGTCATTATCGATGTGATTTTGTTGTGCAGTCGCAGTAATTGGCCAATCCCAAACCCGCTTATCTCTATTTTTTTTTATCGTTTTCTGGCAGTTGTGTTTTTCAAGCAAATATTATTTAAAATATATATATTCATCAAATTTTGGTTAAATTATGCTGTGATTTTTTACCTAATTTCAAAAGGGTTTAAATATGCTGTAATTTTAACTGTATAACCATTTAGACCTTGTAAAAAATATGTTAAATTTTTTATAAATTTAGATCAATAAACCGATGAAGAACCAAATATATTTATAAATTCCAAAGATTAAATCTTTATGAGATAGAATTGATACTTAATTTTGACAAAAATTTTCACGATAAAGACTAAATTATTACAAATTTTAAACTATAGAGATTAAATTGTTATTAAAATTCAAGTGCTAAATTGTTACTAATTTAAAAGTACAAGGAGTAAATTGTTATAGACTAAAATTTAGGGACTAAATCATTTCTTTAGCAAAAGTATAGAGACCAAATGTGTTTTTTAACCTAACTTTTTTTTCTTTTTGTTCATTTTGGTATCTATACTTTCAGACGGTTTGTTTTAATCTTTTAATTTTTAAAAATGGACCATTTTAGTTCCTGTTTGGATAATTTTAACAAAAATGAGATGAAAATGAAAGGTAACCTTTTAAAAGTATGGATAGCAACATTTTTCAAATGTACATCGGCCAAAAGCAAATAAAAGTTGAAAGTATAGAGACCAGAATGAACCAAAATCAAAAGTAGAAGGATCCAAATAATATTTAAAACCCTTTAAAAAAAGTTTCAACCATGTACTTGTAGTATGGGCTTCATGACAATTTGGTGGAGGTATATTTAAAAGTTTCAATCTGGTTCTAGTCTCAAACATCACTAATAATACCTACTACTGGTCTAATTAATCACTAGTGTGACACATTTTCTATTAATGTGTAATGAGTATGTGTTTTCTATTTTTTCTTCTTTTTTGATTACATATTTTCTATTTAGTTGACTGCGTTAAGTTTGCTATACTAGGATAAGTAATTTATAAAAAAAAATATATATATTTATATAGCTTCCATTTTAAAATAGAATGTTTGACTAGGATTCAAAAGTGGTTTTGAGAAGTGATTCTCGATCGATCACTAGTAATTCTCCAACTGGTTTTTAAAAAAAAAAATTTAATAAAAAATTAGTTTTATTTATTTATTATCTACGAGTTGACGGTCCTTTAGTCTTTATGCCCTTATACCAATATACGTATTGTCCCCATATTTGTACATACACAAGGGTTATTTTTTCAGTGGAGTTGCATTTCATGTGAAATTGATTATTGTTTTTATTTCAAAATTCTCTTTCTATTCACCTTATTTTCACCTTAAATTTGAAAATTTTTGGGACTTCCTAACTTTATTTGTTTTAAATTTTGTTATTCACTTTAATTTTTTTCTCTAAATTTTTAGTGTCTTGTATTTCTCTATTTAAAATTTGTCTCTCACTTTCTCTAAGATTTTTTTTTGTTTCTCTCTCTATTTTTGTTTTGTTTTTGTTTTCTTTTTTAAATTCTCTCTTTAAATTTTAAATTAATCATTCAAAATCATTTTTACTTATATAAAAATCACTAGTAGGTAACAAAACGTTAAAATAATTATATAAAAATCATTTTCATAAAATCGATTATCATTAAATCTCTTTTGCTAAAATCACTAATCCTAAAATTCTTCTCAAATGGGCCTCCAAAGTCATTTTAAAAAGTGGCTATAGAAGAAGCAACGATGATTTTGTTTCAAATGCTTATGGAAAGAATGATTTAATAAAAACTTTTACTCTACCTGTTTCTTAAATTATTTTTAGTCAATGTAGTCTTAACGTTATGTACCAAAAGAGTATTTTTCACCGGTTGTGTTTGAAAGTGATTTTAGCATTATCAGTGTCAAAATTACTTCTATTTAACAAATTAAAAAATTAAATTTAAAAAAATCTAAAATCATTTTAAATTGGTTTTTAAGGTAATCACGTCAATAATGATTTTGAAAAATTAATTATATTTAAATCTCTCTCTTTTTTAATTGGGATGCAGTTGACAATAAACTATTTGCTGGAGAAATTGGGTACGAAATATTCGAACACCGTGGGAGTGATTGATCTCGGCGGCGGCTCCGTTCAAATGGCATATGCAATCTCCGACCAAGATGCCGCGAATGCGCCCATTTCTTCTGACGGAAGCTCCAAATTTGTTCAAAATTTGTACCTCAAGGGTGCTAAATATAACCTCTACGTTCACAGGTTCTCTCTTACTTTTTAGCTCTCTTTTTACCTTATTCTATTGGCTTCCACCCTCATCTATTTTAGTCTTTCTATTTTTATTTTTTATCCAATTTATTATATTTACTTTTTAACCATTCATTTTCATCTCTTTATTTTTGGGAAGTGACCGTTATCTGAAAGGTTTGAATTATTAGTTCAACATATGAGATATAGATTCGAAGCTCTAACATTTTAGTCGAGATATATGTCTTTAACAAGTTAAGAGGTTGGCTGTTTAGAATTCTTGTTAAAATTTTTCAAACAAAAGCTATCTCCTTTTAGAAATACGCAGATTAAGATGGACATTTTTAAAATTACATGCATTAAAATAAACAAAAACTTGAAATACATATATCAAAATAGATATTCGAAAAGAGGGACAAAAAATAAATTATATTCCAATGGTGAAACTAGCTATTAGGACCAAAATAAGATTTAGACCAATTCTAATTTAGTTTGATGACGATTTAGACTAATTCATAATTATTTAGTTTTATTGCTAAATATTTAAGGTAGATAAACATTTTGTTGGGAAATTAATAGCTCTCAATAATTTCCTCTTCCACAGAAATATTAAACACACATCAGAATATGCAAATAAGGAAGAAATTGTAAACATAAGAAAACGACATAGCAAAATTATAGTGGTTCACCACTAAGATTACGTCAAATCTTCTACTTGTAATTAATCAAGATATAATTATCCCATAAAGACGATCTTGATTTGTCCAAACCTCTGCCAAATGTCCCAAGCCGCGGCTTCAAATGAGCTGCCAAAAAAACTCCAAAATTGACTGCTGCTACAAATCCTTTTTGTTCCATGGGTACATCACATAAAGCAACTCATATATATATAGGCGGTAGAAAACCTAAAAAGTTAGGTTTGAGCTTTTGGCCCATGAATTTTGGCTCCAAACCCAACACATCTTGTTTTTTATTTTTTGTCTTTAAAAATTATTTGTTGTTTCACATTTTATTTAGTATGTTTTAAATCTATCTTCCTAACATAATTCGGAGAAATAAGTTTTTTAAAACTATGCTATTTTGGCTTTCAAAATTTGACTTAGATTTTAGAAATGATAATAAACTATTAAAAAAAAGATTATCAAACAATGGCTAAAGGGGAGTCTCTGGACTCTAAAATGCTTATTTTATAATTTCTAGACTCTATAAAAAATTATTTCAATTCTTATCATGAATTATTTAATATAATTTTGAATAGATTTTAAAACGTGATATTTGATCATTACATAGGGCTTCAAATGCTTATATCTCTAGATATTTACTCGTTTAATTAATATTCATAGAAAATTAATGATAAACATTAAAATTCTTTTTATGCAAATCAAAAGAAGTAAATAAAATGGTTGAAAGTTTATGAAATGGGTGTGAAGTTCTTTGTGTGTTGTGAATCAGTTATTTGCGTTACGGTTTACAAGCTGTCCGAGTAGAGATTTTGAAGGTGACCAAAGAGCTGGGCAACCCTTGCATTTTAGCTGGTTATGAAGGTATTTCTAACTCTAAAACTACATATGCCTCCGGCTTATTTTAAGTTTAAATACTATTGTGGTGGTTTAATTGGTTAAGCCATATATCTTCAGTACAAAGTCGTCGGTTTGAATTCTCACAAACACGTCGTTGTACTAAAAAATGAAGAAAAAAAAACTTTTTAAAGGACCAAAATAAACTAAAGCTAAATATACCAAACCATAGTATAGTATTTTGACCCAATTTACGACCTTACTTGAACAGGATCTGTTCTAAGTATTTTGATCCAATTTAATCCTAATGATATCCTCTTTCTTTCTATGTTTGTAGGAACGTACACGTACGGTGGAGAGGAATACAAGGCATCAGCTCCCCGATCAGGGTCGAGCTTCGCTCGTTGCCGAAGGGTAATTTTAGAGGCGCTCAAGATCAACCAGTATTGCGGCTATAGCGAATGCACATTCGATGGCATATGGAGCGGCGGTGGAGGAGTCGGCCAGAAGAATATCTATGTTGCTTCCTTTTTCTTTGACAAGGCAGGTCAGGTAAATCCAATTGATCCTCCGCTCTCTTTTAAGTTGGTTTCTAATTGGTCGCTAAAGTTTAAAAGTATTTAATAGATTTCTAAACTTTTAATTTATGTTTAATTGGTTATTTAATTTTAAAAGAAAGAGTAACTTGTCTATTTGATATTTTTAAAAGTAACAAATCAATTAGACATGACCTTGAATTTCATATCTAAGAAAATCATAAAGACATTGAATTTCATGTTTAAGGAATAATTTTGTGTCGTATAAATAGGTATCTGAATTTTAAAAAAAGACGTTGAATTTCATATCTAAGAAAATCATAAAGACGTTGAATTTCATATCTAAGAAAATCATAAAGACATTGAATTTCATGTTTAAGGAATAATTTTGTGTCTAATAAATAGGTATCTGAATTTTAAAAAAAGAAAATACTTTGCTCGAACCCATCTTTTGCTTAACATCATTAAATTAAAGTTTTGACATGGAGGAGAAAGAAATGCATAAAAAGAATTTTTTTTTTTGCTCTGTTTTTTTTAAATGAAGATATATCAAATTTTTAATGGTGATTAAGTATCGAAATATTTATCTTTACTAATTGTTGAATAGGTCAAGGATTATTATTAGACGCTAAATTGAAAATTCAATGATTCATTACACACAAAATTGAAAATTTTAGGATTTATGTTACGACACTTTTTTTTAAATTGAGGACTTATTATACACTGAGTTTATTGGCTAAACTGGTAATTTAACCAAAGTAATTCAAAACATGTTCTAAAATGATGGCGTTATATCGATCTTGGCCGGATCCTATTTTTTGGACCGGATGCTCGTTTGAGCTTTCGGCTCTGAAACCATATCTATATTCATGGGGTTTCATCTCAAAATCAATTGGCAATGGGATGAGTAGTCCATATCTATTATAAACCATTGTTAGATCTTTTTTTCTTTTTCAATATGAGATCCTTAACAGGCGTGATATATATTTATTAGATAAATATTGATTGATTTGACATGACATAAGAGTAACGAGTAAAACAAAGTGGATCACTAGTCTAAAATCGATTGATATGCTTATGTGTGTTGATTTGCTTTGTCGTGCTAAACCAACCAACATTTGTTTCATAAAATTGTCGTGTCATCATTTGATAAAGTACTGTCGATGACAACGAATTATTAGAAACATAATTTAAAATTTAAAAATGTAATTGAAACATTTTGAGATTTGGCTAGATAGACACCACCCTCAAAGTTCAAAGTTCAAAGTTCAAACTACAAGGAAGGTTTCTTTTCTCTTTGGCGTCTCGTTTTTCAAAAACCATTTGAAATTCTTGTAAAAAACATATTTTTGAAAAATGTTCTCTTTAGTTTTCACTTTTCAAAATCGTTTTATTTGAAATAAAATTAATAATCAAAGAAGGAAGTAATATATGAACAAGTATATGATTCTGAAAGGCACAAAAGCATTCCAAAACAAAATTGTTATCAAACAAGTCTTCAAATAACGATATTCAATTTGGACAGGCGGGTTTCATCGATGCCAACCAACCAGATGCAGTAGTAAAGGCCATAGATTTCAAAAGAGCAGCCATGGTTGCTTGTGAAACTAAATTTGTGGATGCAAAATCCAAATATCCCAATGTTTACCCAAGCGACTTGCAATTCGTGTGCATGGATCTCGTTTACGAGTACACACTTCTCGTCGATGGCTTCGGTATGTTCTTTCCCGACTCTATTACTCATTAGCTTAATGGGTCGATTACAAATATTAACGTATTATGTATCTTTGGTAGGCATTGATTCTCGAAAGAAAATAACATTGGTGAAGCAAGTGGCATATCATGGTTCCCTTGCGGAGGCTGCATGGCCATTAGGCAATGCCGTAGCAGTCGTCTCATCGCCAAAGGGCTCAACTGCAAATTACTAAGCTAAAACGGGAACTTGTTTCTGTTTTATGTCTAAGTAGCAATAATGGACTTGATGGAGCAATAGACTCGTCAGTTTTAACACGACGACTTTGTCTTAAACAATGAGGAAGAATCTTGGACTTTTCTTTCATTAATTTACCCTTTATATTGTTGGTATTTCGTTTTTAAGTGTTCATGTGACGATAGAGAGATTTGATCCCTAGGTTAATAGGATGAACCATCATTTGTGGGTATCGACAGTAAATCCGCCTTTATCACTTTTTGTTAGGGCATAATATGTTGGGGAATAAAAAACAATCTAATAACTAAAATGATCAAAATCACAAAAGCAGACAATATTTGTTAGTTAATTGTATATTAGGTTCTGGTTTTAGTTAATGTTGAATTAAATAAAACTAATTGGAACTTACAACTTAAAAGAATATATAAAGGAATAATAACGCAAGAACGATAAATAAATATTAGAGAAAAAGAAAACTCAATGTAGCATCTTGTTCTTTGTTATCGTTGTAGATTCTACTAAAAAGCTAGGAAGAATTTCGAAGAGTTTACCATCAGTTTTACAACGATTTCTTTTAGTTTTCCCTTAAACATAAAATGCTTATGGATCACTCTACAAATTTATTAGATCAAAAGAAGGTTCTTTGATTGCTTATGTTTTGCCTCTACTTTGCCAGGTCAACGATCCAAACTTAACCCACAAGCCACTCCTACTATTTTTTTGGGTTATCCACCTAGCATGAAAGGATATAAGGTGTATGATATTGCCAATCATCGTATCTTCGTCTCTTGTGATGTCGTTTCTTTATGAAACTCTTTTCCATTCCATGTTGTCGGTGTTGGTTTGCAGTTCTTGACCCATTTTCGGACTTGGTCTTATCACCACCTTTTGATCTTCCAGTTGGCGTTGATTATCCCTTTGCTTTTGATCCCATTTTTTGCATCTGAGGTTGTGAGGTTTTCGAATCAGTCAATTCCTTCGCCTCTCGCTCCACTTGATGGGCATCAACCAATCCCTTCTGATGTTATTCAACCTCCCTGGGACGATTCCATCCAGCTACTGCTTGCCATTCGCCAATTGCTCTGGCACCTACTACATCTTCACGAACTTCCCACGATGCTCCATCGGATTCCCCTGTTCTCACCCCTGCTCCCGATGCGATGGGTGTTCTTGCTACTCATCAGACAATGTTGTGCCTCTGCTTAATAGCTCGAGGGTAAGTGTAAGTGCACACTGTCACAAGTTCGTCTCCACAGGGACTAGTTTTCTTTTAAAATTGATTTTGTAAATTGCTTGAATGAACAATCGGGTTTGGGATAAAAATTGGTGAATATGTTGGGAAACAAAATTTAAAAACACAAAGATTAAAAAACCAACCCCTACTAAGATTTAATTCTAAAAGATGAATTATACCTGTCAAGTGTGTCCATAATTAAACTCAATTTATGCAAATTGGTTCAACTCATATTCCATACTGCTTTTGGTTTGTTAATCCTAAATAAATTAAATGTCAACTTTCGTTTCACGGGTAAGAGAGCTTATATCTAGGATCTTATTTTAGTTCTTATTTCTATGTAACTTCCCGTTTTACCTTGATGAGATCCGTTTGACTCTAACATTTTCAGAATTAATTTCAAACCAATATGATTTAAACAAGTGGCCAACAAGAAAATCAACTGGATAAATTAGATCAATCAAGATAAGCAAAAGAGAGCGTAATACGTCGTGCTCACTGATAGATGTAATTTAAATAGATGAACTAAACTCGTAGGAGGGTTGAAGAAACAATTTACCTACTCATGGAATTGAAAGAAATTAAAACACAAGAGAAGATTAGAAAAGAAAGCATTTTAATTAGAATTGGAAAGAAAGTACAAAATGGAACAAATTGAATTGCAATAAAATAAACAAGAGTAATTGTAGAAAAATAATTGGAAACAAAACTTAAATAAAAACTAAAAAACTAAAGTAGAAAGGAAAATAAAAGCATGGAAAAATGAAATGTCTTGAAGAGATGTCTGGAAGCTACTTTTATAGGCCATGGAGGTAACAAGATGTTGAGGAATGCATGAGAGGTTGGAACCAAATGAGGTTGTAGAGATTTTAGGAACTAATAACAAATCTTGGACCAATTACTTGGTCAGGAGTTGTTATTCTCGTTTTGACAATTTAGGCATCGAATGTGGTGAAGCATCGTGAAGCTGGAATTTCAACGTAACTTGGTTGGCTCATTCCTCTAGTAAACTAGAATTTTGGTCCTGCGATGTGTCTAACGCATTGTGATCATAAATCTTCATTTTTTCTTACAAAATAAGCATATTTACCCAAATTAGTTTTCATTTACCTATAACTGAATTCCAAAGTCCCTAATCGCAAATTATGCACATTTTTCCTATATATGCATGAACATACATTTTTCATCATAATTAACTCCCAACTAAGCATGTAAAACTACTCTTTTTAGCCTTTAATCAAGTCTTATCAGACAACCCGACCACATCACCCACCATCCTACCTACGAGATTACTACCTACAACTTATTGCACAACGTCTCTCCGTCAGGTTTATCTTCTCATTCCAAGCTCTCTCCTACTTTTCAGGCTTTTTGGTTGAATGTTTTTGTCCGTTATTACGAACCTCAGTTCTACCATCAGGCTATTTGTTATGCTCACTAGCGTGTTGCTATCGCTGCTAAACTTGAGGTTATGGAAGTTAACAAAACTTGGTCCATTGTTCATCTTCCACCTGGACAATATTCGATTGGGTGTAAGTGGGTCTATAAGGTGAAGCACAATTCCGATGGTTCGGTAGAGCACTACAAGGCTCGATTGGTTGCCAAGGGATATACACAACAAGAAGATGTTGATTTTATTGAAACCTTATCTCCAATTGCTAAATTGGTTGTTGTCAAGGTCCTTCTCACTATTGTTAAAATGCAAATGATTTGTATTAGTAATTTAATTATTATATTTTTTAAGAAAAATATGGGGATAACTAATATTGATTTAAATTACACTTTTTTTTCGGTCTCCCAATTTCGTGGTTCCATGGTAAGAAGTTCCCTTTTGCAAATTTTTAGGTGAAGATATTTATTAAAACTAAGAAAAATATACATTTGTCAAACATCATACCTGTAATCAAAATAAACATGTTAAAAAGATAATCAATAGAATCACATTTTACAAATAGTTCAAGCAACCATAATATGAAATTAGCAATAGATATAAAAGAAGTACAAAGGCGAAATAAAATAAGGGAAGAAACATATCCCAAAAGTAATGTCGAAAGAATTAATATTGTGCTTGGAACATAGGTAGGCAAAAACAATATAGGAGGAAGTATATCAATCTATTCAATAGCAACATAGAAACTTCATCTTGAGAACAAAACTCCGATTTTTGCCTTTTTATTCAAATGTGTCGCGAGTCAAATGATGAAGAAAGAAGTCGTGAAAATAGTGATGGAGCAAAATTTGAGATGGAATGAATAAGGAGCAAAAAAAAATGAAGAAAATAAAACAAAAAATGTAGCCTCTGTGTTTCTCCGTCCCTAAAACCTAGCCGCCTACCTCTTATTTATAGTGTATAGTGAATTCAAATCCTCTACTATTTTAGGAAAAGATCAAGCAATTAAATCAAAATGACAATAATAATTTTTTATTAATTAATGGAATCTTCGAAAAAGGGAAAAAGCATTATGATTTCAATTTATAATTAAAAGATTTGATTTTTACCCAACTTTGCTCCATCAAATTAACATTTTTCCAATAAGAAAGACTTTATTTTATTTTTACTGAAAAAAATTTATTCTGAGAAAACAAGAAAATTCACCTTTAATCCAAAAAAAATCTTTTTGATTTTATTTAAAATAATTTGATTTTGAAAAAAATAAGGAAATCAATATAAACCAAATACCGTAGAATTTTTTATTTTCTTTTGATAAAACACACAAGAGGGAAAAAATTACTATTACTACAAATCATATAAAAAAAAGAATACCGAACAAATTTAAAGATCTACAACCTCCTGGGATATGGTTTTAATATAAGCACAATTATCATAAAAACTTCTTCTAATATCATTCAACACTTGTACCATTGCCAAGAGGATTGGTTCTGCCCTCTAAAAGACCATTTTAAGAAACAAACTTGATTCATTTTACCAACTTCAATGAACCCTGAAGATTTGAACATATATATCTTTTCTTCTAAAACTCAATGAAGAAAAGCTGCAGTGATATTAATTTGCTCCAATTCTAATAACAGGAGCTTTCTTTTTTCTTTTTTTCTTTTTTAATGAGAAATTTTATGAGATGGTTGAACTGTGTATTTGAAGAGATGATGATGGATTTTGTTGTAAGGTATTAGTTGATTCTCTGAAAAATACAAAGAGAGGCATAATGGTACATTTCCTTTTTCTTTTTACTTTTTATGGACGATTCTCAAGTGACGGACCCAACCACGTAGACCGACTAATTCCAATGTTGTTTTTGTTTAAATCATATCAATTTTGTACCAAATATGCGTTTTTTAATTCATTTGACACATTTGAGAATATTTTTTTCAAAAAATTCTCAAATGAAAATTATCAATGAATTTGCGGCACTTTATAAAGTTAAGGTGAAGATTGCATCATTTATTTAACTGTAATGTGTAAATTGATACAAATCACCAAAATTATATACATTAGTGCCCCGTGACACAAAATCCTAAATCCGCATGGGTAGCAGTACGTCGCTTCTGCTCAACAGCATGCTTCTCCAGCTCAACGACCTGCTCCGAACATTCTCTACCTCTGCTTCCTCAAACTGAACTAACTTTATGCCCTTGCTGCCAGAGAAGCTAAGTACTTGAAAAGAAAAAAAAAAACAAGCAAACAAAAAGTAAACTTATTACAACTACATAAAAAATCAAGGTACGACGACTTGAATGCATGCTTTGTCGTGTCAGTGTGATGAGTTCATGATATTATATATTTGATTATTTATTTTAACAATGAATTTGGTGTTTTGAGGCTTTCATGGTGTAAAGTTCGAAAAAACGATTTTAACGTCTTTGGAATCAAATCGGAGTTCTAACGAATAAGTTATGGAAACGATATCAAATGAAAAATGTCAAACATGAATGACATGGACCATCGAAATATCGACATGTGGCACTACCTTGGTGGTCAAAAACAAAATTTGTGCTGCCGCCTGAAGGTCTTAAAATAAAATTAAAAGAAAAAAAAAGAAAAGAAAATGGTAAAGAAGATATAGACCACGGGAATGAAAGAATTGAATTTTTTTTTTTAAAAAAAGTAACTGAAAGAAAAACGGAAGCGAACTTTTTTAAACTTTTTAAACTTTACTTTTTTTATAAAATACATTTTTGGTCTTTGAGGTTGAGGATAGATTTTAATTTGATCCCTAAGTTTCAAAAAGTGACAGTTTGATCCCAACCTTTAAAAAATAGTTTCCTGAAGTTAAACTTCTTGTTAGTAATCAGGGGTGTTCAAAAAACCAGACGATCCGAGCAACCCAGACGGTTTGGGTTGGGTTAGAAAAAATTTCGATTTGGGTTGGGTTGAATTTTTTAAAACCGAAATTTCGGTTCGGTTCACGGGTTGGAAGATTTTTTTCTCGGTTCAACCGAACAACCGTTAAATTAAAAAAAAATAATATATATATATATTAACAATTAGGGTTTTCTTCTTTGGTAGCCGCCCCCTCCCACATTCATCTTCTTCCCCCCTCTCTCATCTTCTTCCCTCTCTCTCCTTTCTCACTCCCTCCCTCGTCTCCCTCCCTTCATCTCTGCTCCTCTTTTTCCCTTCCTTCCCCTCTCTTTTGTCGATTCCCTCATCTTCTTCATCTCGTTGATTTCTGGGTTTTTGATTTTGGGATTTCGATTTCTCTCTAGTGATGTAGGCTTCGATTTGGATCTCTAAGTCACCGGAGAGGTCGTCGTCGGAGGCAAGGAGGAGGTGGAGGAGGGTCAACTTCCTTCGCATTTGATGATGACAGAGAGTGTCGGCGTCTGAATCGATGTTGGTAGTGACGGTGAAAGGGTGCCATTGGGCTTGGAGATCGTGGGGATGTTGATGAACATGGTGCTTGTTGGATTTCTGGGTTTTGGGATCCCATCTCCCAACTTCCTCCCCTCCCAACTTCCTCCCCTTTGGTCTCCCATCTCCCATATCTGTACAAAATTTTTTATCAACCCGAGAACCTGACCGACCCAACCCAAAAATATAAGGGTTGGGTTGGGTTGGGTTATAGACTATGTTCGGGTCTTTCGGGTTACATATTTGATCAATCCGAAAATTCGGGTTGGTCCCTAAAATCCCTCTAATCCGACCCAACCCAACCCAACCCGTGAACACCCCTATTAGTCACTAAGAGAATATTGACATGACAATGTTGAGTTTGATATTTCATATTATTTTTAATTATTATGTAATTTTCTAATCATTTTCCTCTCTCTTTTTTTCCTCTTTGTCTCTCTTCCTCCTTCTCGAGTTAGTTTTCCCTCTCCAATCTCTCCTTCTATCTTTACAAAATATCTTTCCATGAAGACCAAAATCAAATATGTATACTACTTGAAAACCAACTTCCTTTCTTTCTTCTCCAGTGTCTATACGACCTCTGAGCGTTCAATAATTAAATTATACTCGGAAACTTCTCTTCATTCAACTTACTCATCAATTTTTTATGGCTTGTGAAGGGATGAGTTATCTTGGAAAGGATTTTAGGGTAGATGACGACAAATTAGCAATGAATCATTTTATCATTTTCTAAGTTATTATATGCAAGTGAATCAATAGGAATTGAAACCAACTTATAATTTACAAATAGAAGTCATGAAATGATATTTTGTAGAGGGAGAGGGAAAGATACGGGGAGGGAAAACAATCGGAGAGAAGGAGCGGGAGGAGAGAGAAAGAGGAAAAGAAGAGAGAGAAAGAGCGGAGGAAATTACTAAATAAAAAAATTCCATATAAATAAAAGTAATATAAAATTTATAAAATATCCAACCGTTGACACGTCAACATTCCATTTGTTCACTGACGGAAGTTTAATCCTAATGACCTTTTAGAACTATTTTTTAAATGTTAGGACTAAACTATCACTTTTTGAAATTTATGGAATAAATTAAAATTTATCCTCAAACTCAAGGACCAAAAATGTATTTTACCCCATTTTTTTTGTCTTTTTCCAAAATTTAATCTCTACCCTTCATTTCTTTCCTACCAAAATTTAATCACTCAAATCAGTTCTGATTTCATACCTTTTGTCAAACTCGTTCTATTTAAACATTCATACTCTTTCAAAATTAAATAATCACTCTCTCCTAATTTTATCTCTAAAATTTCTCCATTATTATCTCTATTTTTTCTCAAGACAAGTCATTTATCAAACTTGAAGAGTAAATAAAACTTGCATAATATTATTAATGAATAGATGGTCATATATATAGACCAAAGAGGTATAGTTACAACAAAGTTAAGTGACTAATGATTAACACTACCCCTCAAGATGGGTGCAGTAGAAAACATCTTGGACAAAACAGATCAAAAGATTTACAAGATAATGGTTTAGTAAAAATGTCATCTAGCTGTAACTGTGTTCGAATAGGAAGCAACTTAACTAAACCATTGATAACCTTGTCCCGAACGAAGTGGCAATTGAGCTCTATATGTTTCATTCGCTCGTGGAACATGGGATTGGAAGCAATATGAAGTGTCGCTTGATTGTCACAAGAGAGCAATGTCGGAGAAGAACAAGGAATCCGAATCCGAAGATCAGTCAGAAGCTTAGTGAACCAAACAATTTCACTTGTTGTGGCAGCAAGAGCTCGATATTTAGCTTCTGCTGAAGATTGAGCGACAGTGGTTTGCTTCTTTGCTTTCCAAGAAACAAGAGAGACGCCTAAAAAAATACAGAAGCCAGTAGTGGATTTTCGATAATCAACACACTAAGCCCAGTCTGCATCAGAAAAAACCTTAATCTGAAAGGAAGAGGTAGGCTGTAACAAAATGTCTCGAGTTGGACAACCCTTCAGATAACGCAATAAAGAATGAACAATATTCAAGTGGGAAGAACGAGGCTGCGATAGAGACTGGCTGAGCTTGTGCACGACATATGTAATATCAGGGCGAGAGATCGTAAGATATAATAAACAACCAATTAACAGACGATAAACAGTAAGATCAACCAACAATGTGCCATAAGTCATAGAGAGTTTCAAATTAGGATCCATTGGCAAAGAACTAGGCTTAGATCTAAGAAACCCAGTATCTTCAAGTAACTGAAGAGCTATACTTTCGTTACAACAAAAAAATACCAGCAGTCGATCGAGCAAGTTCAAGTCCCAAGAAATAACGAAGAGGTCATAAATCCTTGAGCTTAAAAACATTATTAAGAAGAATTTTTAAGCTATCAATGATGGAGGACGACGCACCAGTGATAATTATGTCATCAACATAGACAAGCAATGCAACGACGAAAGATGATCGAGAACCTCAAACAAACAACGAATAGTCAGATTTAGTTTGTCGGAAGCCAAGAAGATTTGTGGGAGTGTTCTTAAATCTCAAATTCTTTATAAGAGTTGCTCTTGAGCCACAAAAAGAGCTTTTATATCGGTTTGATTATAAACCGTGTAAAGGATCAAGTTTCTTCTAGCTCTAAAAAAAATATTGTACTGGTTTGACTCCTACTATAGAAACTGAAAAAGGGTCGAATTTCTTACTCGAACATTTAAAAGGAGTTTAGGGAGTGGAGTAGGTTGATCTCTTCTTGCCCTTAGAAAAAGAAAGTATTGTACTGATTTGACTCCTATTGTGGAAAGGTTCAGGTTTCTTACTCGAACATCCAAGAGGAATTTGGAGAATGAAGTAGGCTGGTGTTGACAAACCATAATAAATTCTCGATGTTAATTATTTATCTAACTTTATGCTCTCTAATTTTTGTAATTAATTTATTTATCTTCGATTGCATGAACTAATGAGTACAAATTTCTACTTTTAATTTTATTTGTTGATAATTATTTAATTGGTAGAATTTATTGAAGTGTTTGCACTTCCAATTTATTACTTTGAGATAAAATTAATTATTTGTAAAGAGTGTGTTGATTTGATTAACTAAACCATCGCATTAAAAAAGTTATTAATGTTCCATTGAAGTTTATTAACCTTCCTCTAAGTTGTCATATCAATTTATATATAGATTTTCCTTTTATTTTTTACTAAAAAGATATGGATTTTTCCCACGTGATTTCTGCTTATATTTGTGGGCCAAGCCAACCAAAGAAAGACACTGAAAGTAGTGGGAGCACGTATGTTTTTAATCACGTGACACTTTTTTTTTCCACCTAAACATTTTATATTTTCTTGAGCTTTTTCCCTCCCAACACTTTTTTTTAACAAATAAGAAAAATTATTAGTGGTGCTATGGGAAGATAAAATGGAACCAGACTAAACAACTGAGAGAAATTGGGCCAGGAGGGGAGTGAACCCACGGAGACAGTAATCTGACGACTCAAGTCGGCCATAGTCGACCAGACCTGGAGTTCTCGACCACCGGTCAAGAACCCTGATGGGGTTCTCTCTCGTACTCTCTACTTTTTCATTCTAGAGTCGGAGTCCATATGGCAACAGTTAGGGGCGGACAAATTCCTGCATCATCGCCAAGTTGTATAAATAAAAAATAACAATAACAAAAATGAAAAACAATTAATTACAAAATTATGGATAAATAGAGGGAAATGATAAAAGTTGTAAATGAGTTATTACATAGGTGCGAGGTCAATCCAACAAGGAACGAAAGATCATCCCACCAATTAATTCCATTCAGCTTAATCAACACGTTGTAAAAAATAATATAAAAAATCCACCAAATTTATACACGAGCCATTCTTTTTCATTTTTTTAGAGGCCAAGAAGACAAGAGGATAACTCGCCGGCAACTTCCCCTGAGGCTTACCTTCTTCTCCGTCGTGTCCACAGCCGCCGTCGCCATGGCCGAGACCGGAGCCAAACGGCGGAATGAGTTCTCCACCCTGCTTATTCTCTCACTTTTAGCCATCCTCCCTCTTTCCTCCGCCGGTGCAAACAAGTTCAACCTCCGCAATCGCAAGATCTCCACCGTCGTCGGAAGTTCTTCCTCCGTTAAATCCAACTCCACCTACGCCGTCATCTTCGACGCCGGAAGCTCCGGCAGCCGCGTCCACGTCTTCAACTTCGACCACAATCTCAATCTCCTCTTCATCGGTTCCGACATTGAAGTTTTCTCACAGGTAAACACCACAACGCTCGCTCTTAGATTTCTAAATTTCACAACACAACGCACGCTCTTGCTCTTCGATTTCAAAATTTCGAATCTATTTCGCCTAATGACCTCGATGAAGCGATTCCATTGTTCTACAGATAAAACCGGGGCTGAGTTCATACGCCGACGATCCTCAGAAAGCCGCGGATTCTCTAATCCCCTTACTGGAGATAGCAGAGAACGCAGTTCCTCAAGAACTGCAATCAGTAACACCTGTTCGCCTCGGGGTTCGTAAATCCTCCATTCTTCACTTCTCCTCCCCGAAATTTCTCGAACATCTTCCATTAAACGCGCATTCCATTGGATCTCCGTCTCTGTTTTCAGGCCACGGCAGGGCTGAGGCTTCTGGAAGGCGATAAATCTGAGAGGATTTTGGAAGCGGTAATTAGCGATTCCGATTCCGATTCCGATTCCTTGCTACTGAATAGTACTCTGATTCTTCGCCGGTGATTGATTGTTTTTGTTGAGATGAATTCGTTGTTTCAGGTTAGGGTTCTTCTGAAATCGAAGAGCGGATTTCAGTACGACGCCGATTCGGTTTCGATTCTTGACGGAAATCAGGAAGGTTCATATCAATGGGTATGATTTCTTCACGAATTTGCTTTCTCGTGTGATTTTGTTGTGCTGCAGGAAGCAGTGACTTTACTGGCCTTCATAGTTATTGGCCAATCCCAAATCCCCCTTCGTTTTTTTTCTTTCTTTCTGGAAGATGTTTTCAATTACAAATTTAAGCCTTATAATTATTACGTAATTTTACGTTTTAAAAGTTTCAATTTGGTTTATCCTATTCTTTAACAAGAATATATTGAAATCAAGTCCAAACTGTACAGACTAAATTAGTAATTTACCTATTAAATTATTAGCGTTTTATTAATAAATATATTTGAATGTTTTCAAGGTTGGATATGGAAAAATTTTTATAAATAATTTTAAGGGGGAAAAAAAACTAATTAACTACTTCTGATTTTTTAGTGTTCTTCTAAGTGAGTCTGATGTCAATAAAGAAAATATTTTTAATCAATTAAGATCTAAATTTTAAAATTTACATAGTGTTTAGTCGTATAATCGAATTTGCTTTTGAAAATGTTTATAGAAAAAGCATTTAATTGATGTTTTATTTTAATTACTTATAGAAAAAATGATTCCCCAAATCATCTCAAACTTTCTCCCCCTACTTTTAAAATCATTTTTAGTCATGTAGAATTTTCTAATTACTTTTAAAGTTCAATTGCAGTAACTTTTTAACGGATTCTAAGTTTATCTATATAAATTAGATTTTAAAAATTAAAACTAAAAGAAAAGTAAAGAAGTAAATAGACGTCTAGAGATTTAATTTTATCCACACGTGTTAATTTATGATGTCCTAGAGCTTAATTTCACCCATAACAATAAATTATGGCAATTAATTTATAGTCTCCATTCTCCCTCATGATTTTTAGACTACAACCTTATTTGAATTGTTTTGTATTTATTTTAAATTAGTTAGTCAAATTCTTTTGAATATTTAGGAGGGAGATAAAAGGATACTAAATTAACCAAAATAATTATAAAACTAATGAAATTTGAGTGAATTATTATTTTAAATGTAAGCCTACATAATGTTTATAAAAAACAAAAAGTATTTCCAAGTGCTCTAAAAATTTTCGAAAGTACTTTGTAGTTATATAATAAAATATTAAAGAATTTTAAGTGAGTACAATTTAAAATGGCTGAGTTTGAAATATTTTTCTTTTTGCTTTTATAAAAGAATAGAATTTGACAATTGTATCATGAATACAGGTTTCTTTTTTTTTTCTAGCTAAATAACATGTGGAGCGAAAATTTTAACTTTCTACCTTTTCTAATCGATGATAGATAGTTTAACCAATAGATCTATGTGAGTTGGCATAAAAAAATTATACAAAATTTACTTTTTTATAGTTTATTTTAATTCATGTTTGTAAATTAAAAAAACAATATATATTTTTCCATAGTTTTTAAAATATGCAAAAATACTATATTTAATATTTAATTTGGTCTAAAATTTTTGTAATCTTCCAAGCTTTTGTCTCCATATCTCTTAAATTTTTTGTCTCACCTTCTAAAATTTCTCTCTAAAATTGTTGAGATTGAGATGGGTTATTTACTTTTATATATATATATATATATCATGTTTTTTCATCATAATTACTTAATAAATTTTCGAATATATGTTATTAATTTGGTGATTCTGAAATCATTTTTGAAATCAAATATTATTCCTTCAAGATCGTGTAATCAAACATTAAAAAATTATATAAAAATCACTTACACAAAATCACTAATCTCTTTTTAGTTAAAATCACTCATTCTAAAATTATTCATAAATTTTGCTTAAATTAGTCTTTTGGACTAATGAATCGGTTCAATTTGGTTAAATAAAAAATCAAACCGTACTTGTAAAGATCAAATCCAATTGACCTGAATCAAGCCGGTTTAAAATTGAAGAATTGAAGAATTGCAATTGAACTTTTTTCAAATCTAAAGAATAAAATGAACCTACCATCAAAATCTAAACACTGAGGTTTTATTTGATAATCATATTGTTTTTAATTTTTTATTAAAAAAATTAAGATAATAGCCATTGCTCACATATATATATTTCTTTGTTTTGTTATCTTTGTTCAAAAAATTCAAATCTACGCCAAATTAAGATTTTATTTTTATTTACTTTTTTTCTTTTGTAAAGCTTAGCTTAAAAATTAAATATATTTAAAAAAAAGTAAAGAAAAATATACTAGAAAAAATTGCAAGGAATTGAGCATAAATTTCAAAAAACAAAATCGTTATAAAATATGCCCTAACTTTGCAGTTTAAACTTAAGGATATTATTCGAGGTAAAAATTTTGAATCTAGGACCTAAAACCTATAAAAGGATAGTACTTGTACCATAACCGACAAGTTTGTTCAAGTTGTATTCAATAAGGTCAAATTACAAGTTTAGTCCTTAGATTTGTGTCTATTTACGTTAATGAACTACTTTAAAATTTGTCGAATAGACCTAAAACTTTCATTTCTATACATAATAGGTCATTGAGCATTAAAGGCGTTTAATAAACGCTAAACTTTCAACTTTGTCGTCCTTGCGACCTAGTTTGATATTAGAAATAAAATTGAATATTGTGTATAATATAGAATCCAAAACTTTCTATTTTGCGTTCAATAAGTCCCAGATTTTTTTAGCACAAAATTAAAAGTTTAGAGATTTATTAGACATATTTTTAAAACTTAAAAATATATTAAACACAAAATTGAAAGTTACGCATAAAGTTGAAATTAGTTTGGGAGAATAACCTTGTAATTTAAATTTGATTAAGAATAATCGAGAAATGAAAAAGGCATTTATTTATATATTTTGTTTCTGGGATGCAGTTGACAATAAACTATTTGCTGGAGAAATTGGGCAAGAAATATTCAAACACAGTGGGAGTAATTGATCTCGGCGGCGGCTCTGTTCAAATGGCATATGCAATTTCCGACCAAGATGCCGCGAATGCGCCCATTCCTTCCGATGTAAACACCAAATTTGTTCAAAATTTGTACATCAAGGATGCTAAATATAACCTCTACGTCCACAGGTCTTACTCTTACCCTTAACTCTCATTTTACCTTGTTTCGATTATCCTTAACATGTCTCTCAAGATCATGACTCTTTTGACTTATCGATTTTGATCGGATCCTAATTTTCGATTGAATGTTCGTTTGAGTGTTTTGGACTCTGATACCATATTAATATTCATGGGGTTTAATCTCAAAATCAATTGTTTATGAGAGGAGTAGTCCATGTCTATTATAAACCGTTGTTAAGTATTTTATTTTATTAATGTGGTATCCTTAACAGCGTTCATATCTATTATAAATCTTGGTAAGGTGAAGATGATTTGTGGATAAGTTATGCTAAGGTTGGTTAAAGGGTTTACTCGTATATAGAATATTTGTTTAAATTCTACTAACAAAATATTCACTTTTCAAAAAGTTACGGAAATACATAAAAAATAGACAAAAGCTCAAGCTACAAGAACCCAAGTGAATATTTCAAACCAGCGACAAAAAGTGACACTTATATAGGATCAAAATAAGATTCAAACCAATTCTAATTTAGTTGTTCAACTTTTAAAGTTACTTTGGTACGTGTTTTAGGTCAAGTTTCTTAATTTTAAAATATGCTCATGTTATAATTCCTAAGGCTTGCATAAAAAATTATTTTAATTCTTGTATCCGATTTTAAAACATTTTGAAATGGTTGAAAATTATTTTTATGCAAATAATGGTTGAAATTTTTTGAAATGGGGTGAATTTTATTTGATTTATTTTTGTGAATCAGTTATTTGCATTATGGTTTACTAGCCTCCCGAGTAGAGATTTTGGAGGTGACCAAAGAGCTTGGCAACCCTTGCATTTTAGCTGGTTATGAAGGTATTTTTAACTAAACTTACATATGCATTTTAACTTTTTTTTTTTTTAACTTTTTTTATTTATTTATAATTTAATAAATGTAGGAGAGGATTTGAACCTCCGACCTCTTTAAGTGTTGTTGGACCATGTTTTGTGCAGTCTGATTTTCATAAGTTACGTGTATGAAATCTCAAGTAAACTGTGAGAAAATATATGGTTTCAATTTTGTGTGTAACATCCAAAGATTTCAATTCTATCCTTGAGCCAAAATTAAAACCAGTCCCATAGACTAGATTAGAGTCACTTTTGTTCTATTATAAAGAATTATATCTATTTAACTCATGTACTTTAAAAAAAAATTCTAGTAAATCCCGAGATTTTTCAATTGGTGTCTAATTGGTCTGTGTCATTAATTCCATTAGTTTTATGTTCTGAATCCACCTAAAATAAGCTCATAAATATAGTTAAGGCTCGTTTGATAATGTTACTATTTCTTGTGTCTTGTTTTCAATGTTTTTTAAAAAATAAGATCATTTTGCAATTAAATATGTTTTTTGTTTTTTTTTTTTTCAAAACATTCTCAAAATTTTATATAAATTTTAGAAACAACCAAAACAAGTTTCATTTTTCTTTCCAATTCTTAATTTGTTCTAAAACGATTGTCTTATCATACTTGAATTCATGGATGTTAGGATCATGCTATTCATTTGGAACATTTTACCAAAGGAGCTCTTAATGTTTCACTTGATAACGTTAATAGTAGAGACATTTTAGATACAAAGTTGAAATGTAGGCATCTTTGATAACGATTTCGTTTTTAATATTTTAATTTTGAAAATTATATTTATGTTCTCACCATTTCTTTGGTATGTTTTTCACATTTCTTCATAAGTTTGTGATACATTTGAATTCTTAGTCAAATTTTAAAATAAAAAACAAGTTCGTAAACTACTTTTTTTTTTTTTCAAACTTTGGCTTAGGATAACCAAAAAAACAAGACATAAATAGATCCGTTGTAAGCTTAATTTCCAAAAACAAAAAATCCACAACTAAAATATCTTCAAAAGGAAAAGTCCTTCTCAAACGGCCCTAGTAACCTATTAGAATCCTTTTTAAAATGCACACATGAACTAAATAAACGTTGTCTAAAAAATTTATGCATTGCCGAGGGGGCCTTAGTAACTTATTGGGATAAACTTTGTTGCCGATGCAAGAAAAAACGTCGCTTTTCACAACATTTTCAAAAGCGTCAAGAAAAGATCTTCTCTCGACGTTTTTTCAAAAGTGCGGGAGAGAAGTTTGACCAAGTTGACGCATGAGACCTACTTTATCCTGACACTTTTGAACAACGTCGGTAATGCATCGAGAATACTATCTTCTCCAAACTTTTTGTTACTTACGCTATATAAAAACGTCGAGAAAACTAATGATTCTTGTAGTGGTACAAGACGAAACTCGTCTTTAATTTAATTTAACCCTGATGGCATGGTCTCTGTTTGTGTGGTTGGTATAGGAACATACACGTACGATGGAAAGGAATACAAAGCATCAGCTTCCCAATCAGGGTCGAGCTTCGGTCGTTGCCGGAAGGTAATTTTAGAGGCGCTCAAAATCAACGAATCTTGCGGCTACAATGAGTGCTCGTTTGATGGTATTTGGAGCGGCGGCGGAGGAGCCGGCCAAAGGAATCTCTATGTTTCTTCCTTATTCTTTGACAAGGCGGCTCAGGTAAATCCAACTCCACCCTCTCTAGAGTTTAATTAGTTCTTAAAATTTCAAGCATTCAAGTGTTTTTCTTTAAAAGATGATGAATAAGTTTAGAACTATTAGACACGGAATTAATTGAAAAGTTGAAAATATTTATTAGACACGAGATCGAAAGTTTGAGTTCCCTTTCATGATCATTTCCTTTTTGGTTTTCTGTTTTGAAAACTAAACTTAGCAACATTACTCTCACAGCATGTGTTCATTTGTTTTGTTATATATTTTTTATAAGTATTTTTAAAATTTAGGCTAAATTTTAAAAACAAACAAAAGTTTTCAAAACTCGTTTTTGTATTTTAAATTTGATTAGCTAAAATTTTAAATATGTTTTGATGAGAGGTGAAAAACCGAATTACTGATGAAATTGTACAAAAGCAAGCCTTATTTTTGAAATAGTTATCAAACGGTACCTTAAAGATTTATCAGATACTTTTTAAAGTTCAACGACTTTTTAAAGACTAAACTTGTAATTTAACTTAAAAAATTCAAGATAGCTTATTAGTTCTTAAGACTACTTTGATGGTTGTACTAACTTTAGCTCTTAGTTTTTTTTTAAATTTTGATTATATTTCCAATTCTTGTGATTCTTAGAAAGGTTTTTATTATTAACTAAACGATAGTATAACATATTTATTAGACAAATATTTGATTGATTTGGTATAATATAATAGTAGGTAGTAAAATGAATTGGATCCATAAAATATAATGGCATGCTCATATGTCAAATCAACTTTTATTCTTGATCGTGCTTAATCAATCAACATTTATTTCATAAATGTCATGTCATCATTTAATTAATATCATTAATGACAAAGTAGTTGTTAGACTCATAAAGGTAAAATTCAAAAATATAATTGAAATATTTTTGACAAAGTTTGATATTTGAAATTTCAGTAAAAAACATTTCAGAAACTTTTTTTTAAAGAAAATTAATAACCAAAAAAGCATGTGTTCATGTACAAACAAGTATGATTGTGAAAGGCAAAACGCTCTCGAACAAAATTGTTATTAAACGAGTCTTTAAATAATGATATTCAATTCAAACAGGTGGGTTTCATCGATGGCAACCAACCAGAAGCGGCAGTGAAGGTCATAGAATTCAAGAAAGCAGCCATGCTTGCTTGTCAAACTAAATATGTCGATGCAAAATCTAAATACCCTAATGTTTACTCAAGTGATGTGCAATACGTGTGCATGGATCTCGTTTACGAGTACACACTTCTCGTCGATGGATTCGGTACATTCCTTCCCGACTCTAATACTCGTTAACTTAACAGGTCGATTACAAATATTGACGTATTATATATCCGTGATAGGCATTGATTCTCAAAAGAAAATAACGTTGGTGAAGCAAGTGGCATATCATGGTTCCGTCGCGGAGGCTGCATGGCCATTAGGCAATGCCGTAGCCGTCGTCTCATCGTCCAAGTACTCGGCCGCAAATTAGTAGCCAAGCTAAAATGGGAACTTGTTTCTGTTTTATTTCTAAGTAGCAATAATGGGACTTGATGAAGCTACAAACTTTGTCGAGGACTATGGTTTAAAAAATGAGAAATAATCTTGGACTCTCCTTTCATTTACTTTGATATGTTATCCCTCCCAAAAATCATTGCTATGATTGATTTGATGGTTAGAGATGCTTGGTAAATTATACCAGTATAAGTATTAACATTCATGAGTTCCATCTAAAAAATAATTGACAATGAGAGGAGTAGCCCGTGTCTATTATAAATCATTGCTAGGTCTCGGGATCCTTAACATGCTCCTTCAAGATCGTGGTTTTTTTTTTTTTACTCATCGATCTTGGTCGGATCCCATTTTTGGACCAGATGTTCGTTTAAGCTTCTGGGCTCTGATACCATATTAACATTCATGTGGTTCCATCTCAAAACCAATTGACAATGAGAGGAGTAGCCCATGTCTATTATAAACCCTTGTTAGGTCCTTTATCTTATCAATGTGGGATCCTTAACATATACCTCCTCAAGATGGTGCCTATTTTTTGCTCATCGATCTTGGTCGGATCCCATTTTTGGACCAGATGTTCGTTTAAGCTTCTGGGCTCTGATACCATATTAACATTCATGTGGTTCCATCTCAAAACCAATTGACAATGAGAGGAGTAGCCCATGTCTATTATAAACCATTGTTAGGTCCCTTCTCTTATCAATGTGGGATCCTTAACATACTCCTTCAAGATTGTGGCTCTTTTTGGCTCATCGATCTTGGTCGGATCTCATTTTTGGACCGGATGCTTGTTTGAGCTTCAGGCTCCGATATCATATTCACATTCATGGGGTTTCATCTCAAAACCAATTGGCAATGAGAGAATCAGAATAGTCCATGTCTATTATAAACTTTTGCTAGGTCCCTTCTCTTTTCAATGTAGTATCCCTAACAATAACAATAAAGTCTTGAGCAACTCTCTTTTATTGTAAGTCTGTTGCAACCTAGCAACCCATGTGCCAACGGTGTGCAAGTCTATACAATATGGTTGTAGCAAGTAATAAAAGACCGTCTCCACAGGTTGAATTAACTAAAGTGCTGGACTTACGAAGTAATGACCAAACAAATATGCTTTTACTTCTTTGCTAGGCTAAACTAAGATCAACATATAAACGAAACAAAACATTGAAATTAGGGGGAAATAAAGACAGATATAAACTGGCACAAAACAATTTACAAGTATAGTTCAAGGTAAAAAGGGGGGAGATTGGCTCATTTTAGTCTAGTACTACGTACCTGATGCTCTAGTATCGAAATCCTACTGCAGCCAAACTTGTTATTCTTATGAACTATCTAGATTTTGTTTTCTACATGTTTTGTTGCTTTGACAAACCATAAACTCAAATTTTAGGTAATGCTAGGTAAATCTTATTTGAAAATATAGATCTAACACCAAGCAAAGCAAAACACACACCTATTTGTTTATCCAAACAATAAAAGTACTAGCAGTTCAAGGATGTTGATCAAACATTCAAGAATTTCAAACACTTTGAAATAAACTTTACTCGACAGGAGTTATCAACCTCCCCTGAATAGGTTTGGCTCAAATACATTTAAAAAAATGTTGAAAAGGAAGAAATAACACAACACATACCGAATTAACAAAAAGAAAACACAAATTGGTCTTCCTTTTAAGCTACTGGATCTAGATGCTAGCCACTGTTCTTCTCCTTTCTTGTGTCAGCCAGCTGTCCAAATATTCCCCTTTCTTGTTTTGTACTCCTTCTTCTGAAATTTCTCTCGGGATTGCTGTTTTGGACAAATCTTTTTTAAGTAGTTATATTGTCCTTTAAAATTAGGGCAACAACGCGCAGGTTGTACAGACACATCAGTAAAAATCACACGTGAAATAAGTCTGCGTTGTTTGCTGTTTCTGCTTCTGAACCTGATACTCCAACATCACAGGGGATTAAACTGAGAGAAACCAACTACTCATTGAAAGTTCTGAATGCTCCAGCTGATATGATCATATTTGGCAACAAGTCATTGGAGCCACATCACGATAAGAAGATAGCACCACCGCACGCTCAACGTCATCAAGTGTACGCTAACCTCTCATGGAAATACCCCATGTGCGCATGACATCACCCTTCGTGCGCGCTTGCACTCCACACGCAAGCATCCGTGTCCATGCACGCCCCGCAGCGCATCCAACCGTTCACCTTCGCACATGCCCGCGCACGCCTCACGCCATCCCCATGTCGGGCATGCCTAACCCCACAAGGTCTGTCTCTTATACACATCTTCTTGTAATGATGTCGTTCCAAGGACTTGTTGCCAAATATGATCATATAAATGGTGTTTAGTTCATGGGAGAGGAAAAAACAAAATGGGTAAGTAAAAGAGGCAACCCATATTTTTAGGAAGAAATCAAGAAACGCAGCTGGAAAGTCGCCTGCAACACAGAACCGGCAGCTTCCTCCTTTTGTCGTCAGCTTCTTCCTAAAAACGGGCGATTCCCTTCCTTGTCTTCAGCTACACCCAAGGAATGTTTCTCTCTTGGGATCTGTTTGTGCCGGCTAGGTCCTTGTTTTGCTTTAATATCGGGTCCTAATTTTAGGGCACCCAACAGGTAATTGTACGGGCATGGTAAAAATTCTCATGTGGGACAATTATCACTATGAACTCATGCTACCGCATCTGACTTCTCCAGCTCTTCATGCTTTGACATAAGGACGCTTCTCCACTTCTCCTCTGGATCCTATGCTCTTCCTTCGACTTAGTCCTTCAACTTTTTACTCTGCATAAAAGAACTAATAAAGGAGAAATGAGTAGGAACTTATGCCAAAACATGAAATAAAAAGGATTGGAGTTCATTCTTCAAATTCTATATCAGTTTCTTACTTTCATGAGCTAAATCAGACACAAACTTCAATATATAGCACAAAATTACCCAAATAATTACCATAATAACTCTCTTTTACAGAGATATCACCTACTAAGGATGATCATCTATGAATGGCTAACAATCAATGACTGACAATGCATTTACATCAAATACTCTCAAAGCAGAAGTCCGGCGTTTTGGCTGACTCATTATCTTCAACTTTGATAGTGGGGAGTAATGTCATGGATAGGAAAATTCATATTTTCTACAATTTGAATTCCATTTATCTAAGGAATTCAAAAGGAGAAGACATTCTGATGGCCTTAAGATTTTCCCTAGATTTAAGAGAAGATATTATATATTCACAAGGAGAACATATCCTGATGACCTCAGGATTCTTCCTAAATCCACGAAAAGATACCCTTAACTCTAGGTTTTTCCCTCTTTATAAATAGAAGGAAAATACTTATAAGTAAGGTACACTACAAAACTCTACTCTTTCTTATGCTTCACATCAAACTCTAATTCTGACTTAAGCATCAGAGTGTGTGTGACTAGTGTCACGGTCATACATTTTTCAACTGTACGGCGCCATGATCTAAGCTCGACCATGGCCAGCCTTACGAGGAACTCTAGCTCCAATCCACTTTTCGCGCCCCTTTGTGGCTTCGTCGGACCTTAGGCGAGGTTCTTTTTTCCTCGACCGAGCTTCACTTGCAGCGGAATTCTCACTTGTCTCGGCAATGCACGTCGCCCGTACGTGCATTTAAACTCTAACGCGACTCTAGCCGACTTGCCTCTACGCTAGGCCAAGCCCCAAGGCTCTACCTTGCCTCTACTTTAGGCCAAGGTCTTCTAAACGCGACGTCGCAACTTGATTTCAACCATCTTGGTTGTCGGCCATTCGGCCGTCCCGCTCCTACGATGAGCCAGGACCTTACTGTGATGAGTTCTGACCCATAACAGGGCCATAACGAGCTTAAAATGCCAACCGGGTACGACCGGGAGATTCCTGCCGCTTAATTATGTCAAAACTAGCTTATCGGGCCCATCAGACGCCTCTAAGACCATTCATACCGAGAAACTAGTCAATAACGGGCTAAACGGCCTTACCGGGTACTGCCGGGATGATTCCTGCCGACTTTTGGACAAAGAATGATTAAACTTGACAATCGGGATGAGTCTTTCCGCTTACCGGGCCAAGACTAGCTTTTTATCACTTACCAGGTGCCCACTGGTACCTTAGGATGCCACCTCAGCATCGGGATGTCATCGGGCTTCACTGCTCAATTGAGCACGCATACCGAGAACCAACCCATGTTCTTGTCTTTAATGATCGGGACCTTCCGGACATCCAAGCATCCGGACACTATCGTGGCACGACGACTCTTGCGCCCGTGCCGTGTCGTTCGAGCATACCGTACCGCATAGGGACCCCCGTGGTGCAACCTCCGACACATGGACCGAGGCGCAATGCCGGCACACCCGTGCCACCCGACACTGTCCTCGAGTTTACTATCCTCGGTGGAAGTCGCCCAAGACACTCGTCTTGTAGACGCTCGCCCTCGCCATGACACACACATGTGTCATGGGGTGGCTCGCTTAGGCCCTAACATGGCCCAGGGGTGGTGGAGAGCCAACACCATGCCTCCCCCTAAGGTACATTTTAAGGCAAACTTGGTCTGGCAGGCATGAACGTCGAAAGTGGCGAAGAGTCACTCGCCAACGTAGAGTGCACGTCTGAACTCCGATTGACACGAAACTTGGCGTGCTTACATATCTCACTAATATGCATCTAACTCTAAAGCCGCTCGTCCAAACTCTCGACGGAACCCCAACTTCTAGGGTCGTGGCCAGGCCCCAACTGGCCCCCGTTGAGCTTGTCACCGACACCACTGACATCGCCTTCGCCTTGCATTCTGCATACGCCTTCTCTAGGCATTCTTGAGCACATCCATATGGTGTGATAGGTGATGCACCATCCTCCTTGGTCGCATCACGGCAGTTCTCTCTCGGTCCTCGTCATGACCCGATGGACGACACATGCTTGTCGCTGACACTTGCACACTACGTGGGCGTCACAACCTGCTCTCTACTAGTATGGTTGTGACACATAGCACCCATGCGCCAAGCCTTCGCACGTTTCCCGTTTCCCCAGCCCTTGGCGCCTTGCTTGCCTTTGGCTTAATTATCAAGTTGGAATTTTAGGAGAATATATTTTCAAATATTTTGTTTTATTTATCTTCCTTGGATTTTAGGTTTATTTTATTTACAAAAGGTCATTGTCCTTAG